GCTGATCCACTTGGATGAGTTTTCTTAAATTTAAAAATGCCAATTTGTATGCCAGTGATTTCAAGCTTGTTACTTTCATTTTATGGCTTTATCAGGGAATCTTCTATCATTATTCTGCTTCCTAAATGTGCTGTATCATATGCACTCTCCCCCTTTTCTCTTTCGCAATTGAAAACAGAGCCGCATAAAGTAAATCATTTCAAATATAACCCAGTTGGGCTGAACTTGGCCTTTGCCTCATGCAGTATTGAAGTTGATGGTCTTATTTTTAAAGCAATGTGTCTGAGCAGCAGAGTAAGGTAGGATTAAAAAGAGAGAGGGTTTCTTTCCATCCTCACTGCAAGAGGAACCAATCACAAGGGTAAGTTTGTTTTATTCTGCGGAAGTGTAGCATTTAGTTCTGATAGTGGGCATAGAGACCTAAGGCCTGTGTTCAAAGAAGCTAAGTCCTGCAGAACAGAGAACTATATGCATTTATATATTACACCTATATGTATGTATGTATATTTATACATTTTATTGTTTGGTAAATTTTTCTTAGGTGTGGCTGCATATGAAGATATAAGTCCAGAAACACCTCGTTGGCAAAATTTGCCATGTTCCCTAGAGACTTTCAAGAAATCGGTCTGAGTTGGATGAGGGAAGAATCTTCTTGCAAATTGTTAGGATGATGAGGAAGTTCTATTTTGATGATGATTACAACTTGGAGATTCTAGATTTTATTTTGCAGTGACTTTTGTCACTGAGATTTCTTTCACAGACCCCCATATTGGTTTTGCTTGCTTATACTTGTATAGAATTTCTGAATACTACCTGCATCCCACTTCCTATCCAGAGAGGGGTTGTGATCAATCTTAACCAAACCACACTGGGAATGGGGGAGGGGTAAATTCTTCCCCGGGAAATTAGGCAGGCTACTGGATGGCTGGAGAGGGGGAGATCTTGTGGAGGCCACCACAAAACAAGATAAAACCAAGGGACAAGAAAGGTAGGCAGGAGTTGAGAGTAACATTGAGTGGATTAACCACTCAGTATGGAGGATGCACTGCCAGCTTGGTCCATCTTAGACTTGTCTACATCAGAGAATTGGAGATTGTTGAAGAAATGCAAACTGATTTTAATATTAAGTGATACTAAATGTAACTCAGAAGCCTGATATCCTTTTATAGCTGAACAACTTTCTATGTGGATTTGTTACCCATTTCAAATTTACAATGTGTAGATTATGTGTTGTTTGGGCCATCTGTTCCAATAACCATCTGTTATTGGTTCAGGTGAAACGACACTGAGTTTGTCTGGTCATTGATCATTTGAGCAGATTCTATTCTGATTTCTGTATCATTTTTTGAGATTTGGGAGAAGAGTGGAGTGGAGGAAAAGGGAAACACTCATTTTGTCTTTTAATTTGAGGGCACTTAGAAGAAAAGATACATATTTATCGCCTTGATAGGTAAAACTACACTAGAATAATTAAAACAAGGTATTTCCATCTGTCAAATTGGCAAGGATTACAAAAGAAGAGAAATGCCCAAGATCAGTGAGGGTTCAGAGAATTAGCCCCATTGTAAATTGCTGGTGGGGATGTGACTGGTGTACACTTCCTGAAAGACAATCTGGCAATACACATGAGACATTTAAAAATGTTCATGCCCTTTGATCAAGCAAGTCTACTTCTATAAATATTAAGAAATAATTATAAACATATATGGTATAAAGATTTACACATATGGATAATGCTTGAAGTTACATATAATAATGAAAAATTGGAAATAATTACTAAAAATAGAATCTTGGTTAAATGACTTAAAGTATAGCCATATGATGTAGCCATTTAATATCATGTTTTAGAATAACAGATATTAGCATGGGAAAATTCCTAGTCTATTGTTAAGGTGAAAGTAGATTGCAAAGCAGTTTGATCAAATTTTGTTTAAAAGATAGAAACAAACAAAAGAAGATAAGTACACACATACACAAAGAAATTACAGGAAAAATACATCAAAATAGTAAGTGTGATATGCTGGTAAGGGTAATGGGTAATTTTTATTTATTTTTTTGTACTTTTCTCTATTAAAAAAATTTAACAATGAACAGGTATTACTTTTGAAATCGGAAATTTCTTTGTCTTAAAAATAAGGCAGAATGCACCACAATTCTTCTAATGGCAAAATTATGGATTGATATTATTCTCCCTACTGTTCAGTACGTGTCTAGTTATTTCTGGGTACCCTCCATCTCTATGACCCTTGCCCTTTCATAGAACTCAACCCAGTGCTCCTTCTCCTACTCTAGGTGATAGGGTGTTCCAACATGAGCTTGTCTGTTTAACTGGGGATATAATCCTATTCCACATCTTTTGAGGGGCTCAGGCCGATCCATTCCTCATCCAGTGGATCTGATATTTATCACTCTCATCCACTCAGTAAGTACAGGCTGTGTGTGTGATCCATCAGGATAACCCCAAACAACCTGACAGTTCTTTGCTCATAGTAGGTGCCCAATAAATGTTTGAACGCATAAATAAAGCACGCAAATAAGCAGAGACAGTTTAGAGCTCTCTGGGGATAAGGAGACAGGAGAGGTAGAGAAGTGAAAATTAACTGGATTGACTAGGGCTGGGCCAGACAACGATCAACTCAGAAAAACTGGCTTCAGAATTACCATGCTCGCATTTCTTAATCAATAATAAAACCTTACTGGCTCCCACACTATGTGTTTTGCTAGTGTGTCCACACCTGTGAGGATTTCAGCAGTTTAAAAAGAATGAAATCATTAGACCAGTTTATATTTCGGGGCTATGTTACAACTGTCAGTGGAGCAGGATATTTTACTAAACAGCAAGTTGGATACTTACCTATATTGGTGGGCAGCATCGCTGCACATAGAATTCCCAAGAGCATGGGGCTGATTCTATCTCCAGGCAATCTAGGCAATGGGCACACTTTTTGTTGCCCTTTGCTATTGAATTTGCCAGATATGTCAAAGATCCAATCTCATTGACAGAATATAAACAACAAACCACTGAAAAGAAATACACAGTGCTTCTCCCTCTACGGAAGTATGTTCCACCCACTGTAAAGCACTTGTTGTACCACACTCTCTAGAGTCCATGTTGTGGGTTTTGTTATTTTGTATTTATTCTCTTGTTGCTATAATAGCTCTCTACTTGTTACATGGAAAAGGTTGTGTTGCTCAGGAAGCTGGGATTTTAGTGGGAAAATGTACAACTTGGAAAACCAGACTTCATTATTTACCAGCCTTGTTACTTTAGCCAAACTGGTCATCCTTTATAAGCTGAAGCTTACTTTCTTGCCTGTAAACAAACTGCTCCTAACCCTCTTCACATGATTATTCTGAGGTTTAAATCATATTTTTCATATAAAAATAAATGTAAAACATGATATAAGTGTATGACATTATCTTTTGTATGGAATGTGGTAGGTTCTTAAGAAATAGGAGATAGTGTTGCATTGTGGGGTTATAAAGGTAGGTGCGTTCTGCCTTATTTTTAAGACAAAGAAATTTCTGATTTCAAAAATAATTTCATATTGGGGCAGAAAATCATGGTTATAGGGGCATAGAGTAGCAATGGGAGTTCTGTAAGCTAGTTTGTCAATCTGAGAAGGTTTCATGGAGGAACTGGACTTTCTTGAATTCTCTGAATAATAGTTTGAAGATGAATTGTCTGTCTGGGGAGTGGAGATATTAGAATTTGCATCCAAACACCTGATACAATTTGGAAGAAGTTTGAGTGGGTGTAGGGTGACCAGTTAATGGGAAGTTGGAAAGTTCTGAAAAAAGAAGCTTGGTAGCCAAAATGTAGGCCTGATTGCCTGAATAAAGCTTTAAAACAGAGAAGACTAGGCCCCCAAGGGGTGATTTCAAAGTCTTGAATTTGATAAGCAGTGTGACTGAAAGCCTAATTGGCCATACATAGCTGAAGTTGGACAGACTTCAGATAGAGCTGAGCACTTTAGCAACTCTAATGAGAACTGACCAGTGAGATTTGTTGCTGGAGGCAGGGATTCTGGACAGTTTAACAGGCAGGTGAATATTAATTAAAGCTTTGTCTGATTATGTGGAGGAAGAGAAGGAAGAAGAGATGACTCTTGGAAGAGTGGAAATTATGAGATATTCTGGGGAGTGGGGGAGGCGTGTCTCTCCACATACAAGAAGAATAAGAATGCTCTGTTTTAAGAGAAGAGGACCCAGAATGAATATTTAAATTGTCTTTGCAAAAGGTGTGGTTGATACTGTCCGTGTAAAGGATATGGTGTCAGAAAGTCTATTTTCAACCAAAGCTCTTTAGGATGGTGGAGCATGCCCCAAATTGAAGAATATATGTAAATACTGATAATCCCACGCAAAGGATCATAGAATCACACAGATCATTGTTCAATATCCTCGTTGTGTTAGATGAAGAAACTGAGGCTGAGAGATGGAGTAATCTACCCAGAGTCACACACATATATCTGGTTCAGTTCTTTCCATATTTTCTTTTAGGTCTCTAAGCCAAAAATCTGAGGATCCCTAATCTCTTTCTTTCCCGTCTGGATAGGAGGATCAGGAAGCAAATTCTAGTTTTGTTGTGTGGCGGCTACTGAGAGCAACAAATGAGTCCCCTTTAAGCGCATCCTCTCTTCTCCCCTTCTGGCAGGCTTTGATATGCCCACCGTGTTTTTCTATTGGCTATTTTGTGTGGCTTCTCGTCCCCGTCCAAGATTTCCAACCAATCAACTCCTCCCTCTCTTGCCCGGGCCGGGCTTTGAGGAATGTACCATGTGGACCGTGAGGGGAGGTAGAGAGGGAGAAGGGAGTGGCAACAGATCATTTATTTACCTTTTGCCTATAACCATGGGATTTTGGCCTGATAAGAGCCTATAGGTAGCAAAAGTGTCCCTGAGGTTGGGAGCCACGTGGCAGTTCTAAAGGCGCCCTTAGATCTGTCTCCCCTGAGGCTGGGGTCTTGTGGTCGGACCTCTAGGGCCGCAGCCCCCGCCCTCCCATGTGCCCGCCCAGCCGGTGGCGGCGGCGCTGCTGCCTCAGCTGCCCGCTTCTGTTATCCGCGCCGGACGCTCCGGCGGGCACGCTGAGGCTGCGGGGCTGCGGGGAGCGCGGGGCTGCGGGGAGCGCGGGGCTACGGGCCCGGAGTGGGGCTTTCTTTGGCCAGTCAGGAGACGCCGGCACCGAGGGACACATCAGCATGAGGCAAAGGTGAGGACCAGGCTTCGGGACGTGGACCGGCCCCAACCGTCTCGCGGGGCCGCGTCCTACCGTGCTCCCAGCTCAGGGTTTCCGCGGACGCGGGTGGGTGGCTTGGAGCCTTTGACCGCCGTCACCCGACGTGTGGCTGAAGCCCTCCCGCCCCGGTCGTCCGAGGGGGCGAGACTTGCCGTGGGGCTGGCGCCTCCTTCTGGCGGCCCTTCCAGGCTGTTCCTCAGCGGGGCCTGGCCCTCCCTGCCCCTGTCCTTGACCTCCAAGTGTTGGATGCTAGATGCATTGCGGCCGCGCGGGTCCCGGAGTTCTAGGGGAGGCTTCAGCACCTTATGAGAGTGGGAGGGAGGGTGGCTCGGACTGTATGTTCTGGGGGGCATTGGGGCGGGGTCCTGAGGTTTAGGGGTGGGTGGGGTGCGTCCTGCCAGCCGCCGGCCCATAGGCCTTCCCCTTGAGCTGGGGACGGGCACCTCAGTCGCCTGTGGTTGGGCGGATCTCGGCCTCCAGGGAGTAGATCCTGTCCCGAGAGCCTTGGTCTGGAGCCTGGCGTGGGCTGAGTGGGTTGTTGCGGTCTCTGTGGCAGGTGGCCAGAGAAGAATCCTCAAGTACTTTTACCTTTTATTTTCTTACAATAGTGGTGGACTGGGCGGGATGCGTCACTTATCTATGAACCACCCCACCCCCTTTCCCTAGCTGCCTTACAAGGTGATAGCGCTGTTGGTGTTCTGCGTGGCACACTGAAATTTCTACTTTAGAAATCACCTGAAGGAGCTTTGTACACAGATCAGAGGCTCCCAGCAGTAGTGATAGCCTTAGCTTTAAACGTTCTGGCTTGGTAAGCTATTCATCACAATCGTTTGTTGGGCCCCTCTAGCAAGACCACATCCCATTAAGGGGCATGGACTAGCCCTATATCTTGGCTGATTTTTCTCCAGAGTCATTATTCAGGGAAAGCGTTTTCACGAATATAAACCACATTTATGTTCTTTTAATGTGGGTGTTTAATGCAGTCGTTAATTATGGTTTACATGAAGTGGGTTAATGCAGAGGAATGGAGGTGAATTGTGTATTCTCCCCTCCCCCCCCCCAAAAGCTTATCACTCTTTTCTTTTTTTTAATGGGATGTGGATGGAGAGAATGGTATTTAAACATTAGAACACCAGTGTCTATTTGGGCCCATCTGACAGTTTGTTGCATAGACATTAATTTAGGATGATTATTTGTACCCCAAGGGTGAGAATGAGTTGGGTTTTATAGTGAGAAAGACATCTTACTTCGAAGTGGTACTGCCAGCAAGAAAGCTTTGCCCTCTTATTGCCTGGCCACACAGATGCCAATTCATTGTTGTGGTTGCCTTCTTCTGTGAGCACACCTGTAAAGGACCTTTAAGAGGATATTATTAATTCCATATTTGATTGTCAAATGTACTGGAGTCAGAAATCTGGCTCAGGATGTTTTAGCCTCACATTGAGTTCTTCTTGTGCTCCGAGTTTTAAAAGTTTTTTAACTCTTTGATAATATATTGAATAGCATGAGTTAATTATAGAATTATAGGGAAAACATGGTTTGGGTGTTCCTCTTGCAAAGAATCTTTAGGAGCTTGAACCTGGTTCCTAGCCAAGACTCTTTTCTGTGTTCACAGCACTAACCTTTGAAATGTCTAGGACTTGATTACCAGATTGTGATTTTTTTTCTCCCACCTAGGATGGTTCCCATTCAGTGAGAGCTATTTCATTGTGTTTCTGGGTGTGAGAGAGAAAATGGGCTTTGGAGTAATGTACGTAAAGTAATTAATGCAGTTCCTGGCATATAGCAGATGTTTAATAAACGTTAAGTAGATTATTTTTCTTTCCTTTATGGTTTTGGGAGACCCGTGGATGATGAAATTGGATGCAGTTTTGTTTGCATGCTCCCTTAAGTTAGGAAGATTAGCACCAGCCCCTGCCGCCCTCCGTTTTCTTCCCACTCCAGCCTCTAGCTCTCACACCAAAATTTTTATGATACGTTAAAAATGAAACTCAAACCTCTGAACTTAGAAGTAAAATCAAACAAGGAAGAATTGAGCTTTTCTCCCTGTCTCATGTGTTACATTTTCTCAGAAAGGATGTTAAGCACTTTAGAAGAAGTCTTACACCATTCTGTACAGCAGAGTAAATGATCAGAATTGACCCTTTCTTGGGTCTTTTGAGTAGTCCTGTGGGTGAGGATTTTGGTTGTTGTTGCTTTGACATGTCTGAGTAGAACCATAGACCTTTCTCAATTTCTCCTGGCATTGGCATCTGAGAGGAGGCCTGGGATAGGTAAGGCCTGACCAGCAGGCAGGGGTAGAATCTTAGGTTTGAAGGGTTCTGCCTCTGACCTGGGCTTTGTGAAGAGCAGCTGTTTACCTGATCCCACTTGTAGCAGGCTACATGTGAACAGATTAAAAGGCTATCAAACCTAATGCTCTTGAAAGTGTAAGAAACATTACTGGTTTATCTATGTCCCACATTATTGGGTGTGACATTTTAATAATAATCATGTTCTGGATTTACTTACACTTGTCTTTAGAAGAACTGAAAGCTTTTTCATCCCCTTATCTCATCGATTCTTACTTGTGTGAGATCATCAAAATTTATTCCAGTATATTATTTTCATTTTGTAGATGAAGACATAATTTGCTCTAAGTTGCAAGTGAGTTCGTGTCTGAACTGGACTTGAATTGGATTTTCCTTCTTATATTACATTTCTTTTGTAGAGGAAAAAAAACACAACCTTTTTTTTTTTTTTTGAGAAACCTGAAGGATTTAAAGATACCAGACCATTGTGCTTTTCCAATGACCAGGGAGCTAAGAATAGTTAACATTTATTGGGTGTTTATGTGTTGGAGCCAGAGTGCTAGGTTTATGTACCTTGCCTCACTTAATCCTTCACAACCATATACAAAATAGGACTCCTTATTATTCCCAATTTTACAGATGATAAAATAGGGTTTGGTGAGGACCCAGATCAAGGGAGTGACAGAAAGCTGGGCTGGCACTCAAACCTGGGCTGTCTGATTCTGAAGCGTGTGCTCCTAACCCCCATGATTCATTGGTGACTGAGGACCAGACAGAGTCCTTGACACTGCTGTGCTGCCTCCCTGGTGTGAGGGACTGTGGTTGTGCTGGGCTTTATTTTTCACTGAAGCAGAGTTTTGACACCCTAGACTTTCCTTGAGCCAGAAGCATTCTTCTAGTCAGGTGGAGGGTCATTACTTTAGAAAAAATAATCAGAGCTGAAAAAGCATCTATATTTGGAGAGTGTGAAGTACTTAATAAGACTAGAAAGGGATAATAGGGGCAGAAAGAATCAAGGTGGTTTGTAGATGGAGGAAATTTGTAATATTCTAACTCAAGGGACATATTTAGTACCCAGGCTTTTTAACTTAAGCTGTGGGTTGAAATTGTAAACCTGTAGACACAGCACTTGTGCTAAAATCTGTGTAGTAAGTAAGGTTTTCAGTTTCTACTTTAGGTGGCAGGGTTGAAAATCTGATTTCTTTTTGGTCTTTAGTGCACACAAAATTGTGGGAATGGCAGGGATATAGTTTGGAAACTTACCTAAACTCTTTGTGGATGTCCCCTTTCCTCCAGGAGCCTTCCCCCTCCTCCCATCACCTTTGGTTCCAGTTTTTAGAATTCAGCTTAGACCCTGTGCAGTTGGGTGGGATGGTGGAGGGTGTCAGGTGCTGAGTTACTTGGTATACACCATTGAACAGAACAGCACCCTTGCCCTGTGCAGCTCAGCTGTACATGACTTGCTTTTTTCTTGGTGTGGGCTTTAGATGTCTTTAGGTATAAAGCTTATAGTCATCATTATCAAGAAACTGGGAAGGGAAGACAGGGAAACTATTGCTCCAGGCTCTGCAATTCATTGACTTTTGTCATTGGCAAGTCAGAGTTTCACAGAGGAAAGGAAAGTTTCCACAACTCAAAAAAGAAAAGTGATGATAATCACATTAAAGAATGGCGAAAAAGTAAGACTGTTGTTTTGTACCTTGGTGAAAG